TTTTTTTCTGAATGCCAAGTATATTTGTTAAAATGTTTAGAATTTTTAAATAGAAATGTGAAGCCTCAACCATTTCTCTCCAGAACACACAACTGTAGGTTTTGACAGAACTGCCTATCATCATGCCCAGCCCCACAGCATAAAGACAAGTTTAGGTGCCCCAGGATCCATGAGTTCTGTAGTCGCCATTCTATGTGTCCAACAGAGGAGAGTGTATATGATCTATTTGGACTTGCACAAATCTCAGAAGACTGTATTCATGTTATAAAATAATCTTGAAATATCCTAAATCCAGGTGATTAGAGAATCACTCATGTAATTCAGACCACTCATGTGGGTTGTATGTCAGAAATCCTTCTAACCTTCAGGTCTCCTTGACTTCTCAGGAGAATCAGACTAGGTTTACTCATTTCATTTTCATAGCAAGGGTTACTTTTTGTGAAAATGATGCACTGGAAACAATAGTCATTTCTGGTGCTTCATGATAGAGTTGCAAAGCATACTTTAAAAAACGCACCTTATTGTGCATTATTTACAAGTTTATTTGTGGTATGAATGTTTTTTCTACTATTAGTACTATTAGGTGTGAAGAAAAATATACTTGGCTTAAAATGTGTCACACCATGACAATTGGTCTTCTAATATTTGCCTCATTTATATAAAAATAGTACATGTTTGTCAGCATGTAAAGGTCCTGGGGGCATTGTACCTAGAGTTAAAGCAGGCACAAAGCAGCCATGACATTGTGACGAGATATACCGTGTGTGGAACTCAGGGCCAGAAGATGTGGGTCCTGGTTCCAGACCTCCCACTTACTACTTTTGTGACCTTGGTTATGTCTCTCAACCTCTCTGAGCGTTGGTTTTCTTGTTTAAAAATTGCTGATATTACTTCCTATTTCCATTGGTTGTTGTAAATTTTGTTTGCTCATGCTGCTTCTCATTCCACAAATGATTTAAAATGACATGCATATATTTAAAGGTAAAATAAGATGTATTTGGCAGTGCTTTGTAGATTATACAAACATAAGTTGCCTGCCGTCAGTATAGGGCCATTTTCATTTCTGGGGAAGCCTATCACTCAGAATAAAAATGCTTCTAAGCACATGTTTTGGAGACTTCCATTTAACAATTTCAAATAAAGCAAATATGTGTGACATAGACTGGTTTTAAGTGCCAATTTAAAATAAGCCTGTAGGAAAGAAGGCTATCCAAGACCTTTTTGATTGAAGACCATTTGCAACTAATAAAAATAGCAGACTCTCACATACTTAATGCCTGTTAATTGAAAAGAGCATTTATGACAAAAAGCTCTTAGGATTAAGTAAGTCTTGTAAATGGTATTTTGTTAGTCATAACAAACATGTACTAACATTTGAGAAAGAATAGAACTTAATTTTATTAAGAGTGAGTCATTTTTACTCAGCTTAAAAATAATACTTTTGTTGCAATTAGGATTGGTGGATGCCTCATAAGAACACAGAGGATTTGAAATATCCATGGCCTACTGGTTCCTTCCTCTAATTCCCTTCATTATCAAGTGCCGTTTGCCTTAATCTTGGGTTACTAGCAATGCTATCTGCTTTCTGCATCTAAAGCCTCCAGGAAATTGCTCTGGCATGGCCTAATAGCTTTTATCTGCTCACCCAGTGGCTCTTACACTTTGATACTTGAAACCTAGAGTTAACTGTGTAGGGCCAAGCCCTTCTGAAGCAGTGAACTGCTCTTCATTGTCAATAATGGCTGCTTATGCCAACACAGCCAAGAGAGCCTCCCCACCCACTTCCCTCTGTCAAAGTGAAATGGAACATAAGAATGGAAGCTAGTGGCTATTTTACCATACCCCATCCAACTTGCCATTTCTTAATTGCATCTAATTATCAGCTGGGAGTGGTGGCTCATGCCTGTAATCCCAGCACTTTGGGAGGCCAAGGCAGGAGGATCACTTGATGTCAGGAGTTTGAGACCAGCCTGGCCAACATGGTGAAACCCTGTCTCTAATAAAGATAAAAAAATTAGCTGGGTATAGTGATGGGTGCCTGTAATCCCAGCTACTGGGAGGCTGAGGCAGGAGAGTTGCTTGAACTCGGGAGGCAGCGGTTGCAGTGAGCTGAGATTGTGCCCCTGCACTCATGTCTGGGCGACAGAGTGAGACTCTGTCTTAAAAAAAAAAAAAAAAAAGACTTTTTTTTTTTTAAAAAGAATAATTATAGAGAATTTACTGGATATGCTGTGCATTGCAGCAAGATTCAACTCTTGTTTATATTTTAAGCTGTTATTTTTCTCACTAATATCTGGATAGTATATTTGGCTGATAGGAAAATTGTTAGTCTGTTTCTGCTTATCTGAGGCATGCTTACCTTCCCTCTTTTTCTATAAAAAAAGTTTTTTAGGGACATTTATTGTAAGCTTCTGTTTTCTTTTAAATAATATATAATTTTAAAATTGTCTTTCCTAAGCAGTGAAACTATTTGAAAACATTCACTTGACATTACAGTTCATGTTACACAGAAGAGTGATAAAAGTCATGAAATAAGTTTGTCCCCTTCTTTATAATAGATAACACTGTAGTGTCAAGGAATACATGAGAAATACTAGCTTGATAAAAGTTCCAATAAACTTTATTTTAAACAACTATGATTTTCCTTAAAAGTAATAGAGTTGAGGGACCCACATGCTTGAAAGTGAACACACTTTGGTGATCCAGATGCCCGAATTTCAATGTAGAATGTGTATGCATCTGAATTCCGGGGCTTCCCCTTACCAATTTTGTATCCTTAAATAGTTATTTAAGCTCTTGAAGACTTAATTTTCTCATATATAAAATGTGCTGATGTTCCTAACTCACAGAATTTTCTAAGGACAAAAGGAGACACACATGTAAAGTGCCTAATGAAATGTTGGGCACATAGCAGCCCAATGGTAGCAGCTGCTCCTGTTGTTTTTGTTATTAACAAACAGAATGAAGGGAAACCAACCTAGAAGGTTAGATTTTCTGGGATCCCTTCTGCTTAGATCAATTTAGGAAACGGCCCTCAGAGAGACTGTAATGTCTAGGCAGGAAACAGGCAGGCGGCTGACTTGGAGGAGCTGGACTGGGAAGATAAATTCTATGCTGGGAGAGTCACAATCCCAAATTTCAGACTTATTTCTTTCTGCTATTTTGCAGCGTCATGTGATGTGACAGTACTCTCTGTTTTGGACAGGTTACTTCACTGCAATTAATAATGTCACTTCATTTTTTATTAATGGAACCTTTATATACCTTAATCATATGCTTGCAAGGAACAGGGAGTCTTTTTCTCTTCTTCTTTTCCTCTCTTCCCCTCTCCTCCACAGAAAGAATTTACTCCCCATATGGGGATGTTATAAAAGCTGAAAGGATTCAAGGTCAAAATAATACACTGAGTGATTGAAAAGCTGTGTATACACCTTCATGTTCTCCTTCTTACCCTTTTGCATTTACAATAGCCCTTCTTACGAAGAAACAGGATTCATCTTTAATTTGCTTTATGCCATTCATCCTTTTATATTTGATTGGCTCAGTGATATTCTTTACTTAAATTTAGCATTTATCAATCACAACTAGCAGTGCATGTTATAGTGTTAACAGAAAATTCCACAGGACCCTCTTCACACTGGGGAAGGGGACCATCTGCTACTTTCATATTAGGATGTCAGCATTTAGAGGTCAATGTGTTTCCCCATCAATGCTGAAGGCTTTGGGAATCGGGGGAAGTGTCAGGCTCCAAGCAGCATAATGAATGACAGTTGCTGACTGGCTAGGCTCGCATGTTTTCAACAGGGGATATCGCTGTTCAGTATAATGTGCTGGGACTTAGTGTGGTAAACACACCCAGCTTGGGTAGTGAGACAGGCTGTGCCTCTTCCCCCCGATTCTGAACTACATTTTCATCTTTGAAGAAATTATATTGAGGTCTTCATTAGTGGCACCCAGCAGGGTGAAGGCTCCATGAGGGCTGATAAGCACTATGGCTGAAAAATGATCAGCCTTCGTGCAGGCAGTTGAAGGTTTAAGCTGCCTGAACTGGAGAGAGTCTGAAGAGGCGATTATGTTAAGCAAGTAATGTGTATTGGTAACATGGAATCAAATTATTAGGGTCAGTAACTTCCTGGCTTTCCCAGTGCATTAAATGAAGACATATAATATTCATTTGTGTCGGGTACTTCTTGATGCCACATAGTGTCAGCACTGTCCGGTCGTCTGTACTTCACAGCATGTCACCTCTAATTTCATGGGATTATCTGTGCTGTTGCATTATTAGATACTCACGATCTTGAGCTTCCTTTGAACTCACAGCAGGGCAGTACAAAGTCATTATTGTGAATACTTCTGTGCTTTCTTGTGTTTTATACAAAATTATGGCCACATTTAGAAAGGTAGATATATCTCGCTATCATACTTCCAAAAGTGCGCGTTTATTTGTTGGTAAGGAAAGCTACTGATGGAAAAAATATTGAACGTGAAAAATATTTTTAAGGACTAGTGTTAGAAAGGTGTCAAGGCAGTGAATTAGTATTAGAAATGTTTATAGGACAGTGGTTCTCAAAGTGTAGTCTGATCAGCAGCCTCAGAATCACCTAGGAACATATGAGGAAATGCAAATCCTACTGAATTAGAAACTGTGGGGTGGAGCTCAGCAGTCTGTGTTTTAACAAGCCCTGCATGTGATTCTGATGCATCTCAAGTGTGAGAAACACTGCTGTAGCATTTGCGGAGTACATGAATGACATAAATCCATATGTTCTGGGGTATAGCAATAGACAAGACAGATGAAGTATCTGCCCCCATGGACCTTATTAAGTTACAAAGGAATATGTGGTTCTTTGCCCTGATGAAATGTGTATACATACCCAACAGAGCCTATAATTATTGTAGATATCATTATATTCTTCATTTGAATTAGCTTGTTGTTTTCTTCGGTATCAGAGAATGACTAACAAAAGATAATGAATAAGTGATTCCTTTGTGCATTTCAGAACCATTCCCCTTGCAATATGTATATCTATGGCCATTGTCACCATTGGCTATGTGCTGACAAATGTGGCCTACTTTACGACCATTAATGCTGAGGAGCTGTTGCTTTCAAATGCAGTAGCAGTGGTAAGTCCAAGTTGGGAAAATGCCAATTGGAATTTAGGTTAATGAGTTGATGCAATTTTATAGTAGTTCCCTCTAGCAGAAAGTGTTTTGAAATTCTGTAATCTTTTCTTGACCTGAATAATAATGAATATTTAAAAAAATTTAGAGCATACCTTAGCGTGTTCCATTTAACTGATACATCTAAATTCCTATATGATTTCGCATTATTTCTAATTTCTTATAAAACAATTTCACACATAACATGCTTGAAAATCTGTCAAGGCTTATTATCCCAGCATGTCTTTAAAGATAGGTGGACAGTTATTGAATCTAAATAAATGCATTTTTTGTATGCAAATTACAATTTGTTCTGTACATTTTTCTATTTATAAACTTTTCAAATGCGAACTCAAAATCCTTTCCCCAAGTGTCACTTAAGAATTTTGATGTGGACCATGTAAATTTGGTTTTCCTAGTATATCCTTTTGAATACTAGTCCTGGGATATTAATAAATTTAGGAAATACTGGGTTATTCAAAGTTAAACAGATATTGTTGTTATAATACTTCTCAGAATATTAAAGATACCAACATGAATTTTAACTCCCTAAGAAGTGGATACACATAATTTTATAGCATTTTCCAAAATTTATTTGACACCAGGACCATCTTTGTCCCCAACGATCATGTTATAAGACTGTTATTCTGGCCAGGCGCGATGGCTCACATCTGTAATCCCAGCACTTTAGGAGGCTGAGACGGGTGGATCACGAGGTCAGGAGATCAAGACCATCCTGGCTAACGTGGTGAAATCCCGTCTCCACTAAAAATACAAAAAAAAAAAAAAAATTAGCCAGGTGTGGTGGCAGGAGCCTGTAGTCCCAGCTACTTGGGAGGCTGAGACAGAATGGCGTGAACCCGGGAGGCGGAGCTTGCAGTGAGCAGAGATCACACCACTGCACTCCAGCCTGGGTGACAGAGAGAGACTCCATCTCAAAAAAAAAAAAAAAAAAAAAAGACTTGGTGACTCATACTTTTATTTTGCATAACACAGCTAGTAAGAGACCATTCACTCTTGACTTCATAACAATGAATGGTGAAAAATTAAGTTCCCGTTACCTGATGTCAGTTCCTTTTAAAATAGTTGGTATAACCTCATATCAGCAACATCTACAAGGAATAAATTATCTCATTTCATTTGAACCTGTTTGAGTTCACTGTATTGAAAAAGACTGACTACTGCTCTAGGTCCCACCAGACAATCAAATATACAAAGCTTATTGAAGTCAGGTCAGTCATCTCATCTTTCGAGACAAAGGGCAGCACTTACTCTTTGGGCATAATGTGCCCCACTAATTACATAGCACCAGCTGCATCAAGGACAACTAATGAATCCAACACATTTTCTTTTTTGGAAAATATATCCTTCATGGAAATTTGCAATATTGCACATATCATGGCATAAAATAATGTTTTAGAAGTTGTGTTTATCTTTTAAGTTTCTGTGGCTTGTTGGACTTTTATTTGTGTTCTAACCTTTTTATAGGAAACCACAAAAGAAATTGACAGATACATGAGGGGGGCGGAGTGACCTTATAAACAGAGGTTTAGCTAGTGTGATTTTCTGGGAAAAAGATTTTCAGAGCTACTCATGTATATGCTATAAATTATTAAGTCATCAGTTATTTTATTTACCTCCTAACAATGGGATTGGCATATGAAACACACATTTGTAATACTTCTCAGTGTATTTCAATATAAAATCTGGTTTTCCAGGCTAAAGAGAAGGTATTATACAGAAAGATTTCTATCTCCAGAAGTAGAATTCTGATTTGAGCTTTTATCACTTGTCAGAGTCAGAGACAATACACATCATAGTTGATAAAGATTCGATAAATGGATCATTGCTTTTTGAAAGTAGAGAGAAGGTGCCTGTTTAGACCTTTGACTACAGTTTTGCAACAAGCAATGCCGTGGTCCTTGCTTTTGATTATTGTCTATGGAGTTAGTCTGACCCTAACCAAAGAGAGAAATTATAAAACATACAAGTATCACCAGGCTAGTAGAAAGTCATAGAGCAAGTTTGGCCTAAATTGTTTCATTTTATTCCACTTTCTGGCAAGGCATTAATTTGCTTCGTTCTTTCTTTCACTAGACCTTTTCTGAGCGGCTACTGGGAAATTTCTCATTAGCAGTTCCGATCTTTGTTGCCCTCTCCTGCTTTGGCTCCATGAATGGTGGTGTGTTTGCTGTCTCCAGGTGAGTGAGTTCATGTATTTCCAGAAACACATTTCTGTTTTTGAGATTGGATGTGATAAGGATAACTTTAAAAAGAAAAGAAATAGTGCCTCCAAACCTGTTGTTTTTAAAGGGACATGCAAGATTGAAATGGTCCAAGTATCAACAGCATGTTTTATTCTGTCCATTAGAGGGCACTGCTTGCCTATTAATAGCTTATTTGGAAGCCTGACATGTGGCTTTTTTTAAAATAGTATTTCCACAGAGTCTAACAATGGCATTTTATTTCTGGTGATATAATTTTCTGTTTCTCTGAAGATGCCAAGAAAAAAAGTAAAGTAAGAGACATCAGAAATCACCACCCCTACCATCCGTATTTCCTTTGTTTAGTTTGATGCAAAAGTCTTTTTCTTTTAATATAAGATTAAAACCCGATCAGATTAATGTGAATGCTACATACATGTGTGTGTACCTGTGGATGTGCATGTGCGTGTGTTTGTTGAATTGGATGGACAACACACATATAAATACCAGGAATTTAGAACTAGATCTCCCATCAGCTATTCATATGTAGAGAGCGCTATGCCGAATCAGATATTGCTATTCTTTCTCTTCAAAGAATAATATAATGTTGGCAGATTTTGTAAAATTCAGATTTAGATTTCCTATGATGTTTCTTCACCTTATTTGAAAAGTGAACTTAGGCAATCACCTGAGAAATGCCTGACCATTTGGTATGAAAAAGATGCAAGTTTTCTCTGGGATTTCTGGATTTTCCCTTTGAAATGATCAATCATACAGTCAACTCCACCCACATTTCTCTCCCATCAGGTTATTCTATGTTGCGTCTCGAGAGGGTCACCTTCCAGAAATCCTCTCCATGATTCATGTCCGCAAGCACACTCCTCTGCCAGCTGTTATTGTTTTGGTAATGCATATTAACAAGTGTATCTAGATATAACCTTGAATAATAGATTAGCAAAAAGGAATTCCAACCAGACATTAGATAGTACTTTACTTTCTCATTCATTGCTAATGTATGTCATGGTGGAGTTTGGGAGGCAGGATATCTTCCATCTCTTCCCTTTACTCCATGTTTCTGATGCCCATTTGATGCTTTGGGGCAAAAATCACATCACCTCTCTTTCGTCTTTGCAAAAATGTGTACAGTCTAAGGAAAATGATTAGCTTGGTTCCTCTCATCGACATAGCACCTCACAGAAAAGAATGTAGAGTATTAAGTCCCAACTACTTAAGGAAAGTAGAGCAAAAAGCTACAGCCCAAAAAGTACCCAGATGTACCATCTAGGCACCTTATCATGAAATGCACACAAAATTATTGAAAGAATTGATAAAATCCTAGACAGTGCCATTATTCATTTGAGACATTTGAGAGCAAATAATGTCTTTTATCCTACAGGATAAAATAAAAGCACCATGAGGTAAATTTGAGTTGTAAAATTCTTTATGCAGAGCAAAGTGTTGTGAAATGTGAGCTACAAAAGACTGTATAAGGTGTAAAAGTCCTCAAATACCCATTGGCAATGTTATATTCATTTTTACTGGTGATTTTGTAACATTTCTCTCAACTGGAATCTGTTGTCAGGGGCACCATAGAATGCACTGAACATTTTTTTTGCATGCATTTAATTTGTTTCAGAACATTTCCTTGAAATTTCTTTTAAAAGTATGCGTACCCTCCGTGCAGAATCTGGACTTTAACGCCACTTGTGGGAACAGAATGTATTATTCCGTGAAGAGGGCTTTCATTTTAAGCCTCTGCTATCAGTCGTGCTGTCCTTGGCATGTGCAGCTGCAGAGACTTGCTAAGCTGATCTCTGTGCTTCATTCTTCTCCGTGGTCTTGAGGGTCACACACAACAAGCACACCAGGAAAGTAAATGTGGAGGAAAAAAGTTCAATGTTTTGCAATCAAGAGCCGACAGAATCAAACATGAGTGTCTGTATTTCCTGTGTGTGGATAGCCAAGAGCTCATCAGAGCATTTGCAGAGCTTTCTGTAAATCTTCCAGTTGGGTCTTTTTTACTGTTTATTATTGGTTATTTACTAATCATCTCAATCTTTGAGTCTTTCAATTTTGAGTCATTGAGTACCCTTTCTTTTACTCTTTGAAAACATATTATCTTCTCTCAAATGCAAAAGGAACTAAAAACAAAACACAACATTCATACAGAATTCCACTTGAATAAAATATAATGGCCATATCACTCTCATACCGTTACTGGTGTGTAAATGGATTATGACAGCAGATTATAGAAAAAAGATTAGTCAAATCCAGGTTTTAACTATGATGATAATTTATTGGTATAAATAATTATTTGAAAACAGTCATAATGCCTAGTGAGGTTGTTGTTGTTAATCATCTGTGCTTTCACTGAATTCACCAAGCTTGCTTCCCTTTCCCCCCTCAGCACCCTTTGACAATGATAATGCTCTTCTCTGGAGACCTCGACAGTCTTTTGAATTTCCTCAGTTTTGCCAGGTGGCTTTTTATTGGGCTGGCAGTTGCTGGGCTGATTTATCTTCGATACAAATGCCCAGATATGCATCGTCCTTTCAAGGTAACCTCAGCAATTTTGATGGGTTTACATAAATCTTTCTCCTAATACCTAGTCCTCCCTTTGTCATAACTTATTGATGGGGAGGTTGGGCTGGGGGCAGCATCTGTGGAATAAAAATGTTTAACTCTTGCAGGCAGTGCTTTCCTGTTGGATTTATTTTAAGTTGGAAAAAAATAGTTCATCCAATTTTTTATGTGACGTGCTGAACTTTGTATGTCACATTTTTGAAAAATGACAGTATGAATGAATGTTTGGTATGTTGATTTTTCATGAATGTGTTCAATGACCTGATATACTCAAAGTATGGGCTACTTCTGTCTGTCTTTATGCTGGAGTTGTGGACAGCCGTGGTGAGAAAGAGTAAGGGAGATACTTCGTTAATGCCAATTCCAAAAAGGAATTTGCCCTTACAAAATAGGCATTTTAAGTACTTAAATGTTGTGATTTGTTACACTGCTCTTTCTCTATATTATACACTCTAAAAGGAATAGAAATGTAAAGTATACAGGGAAAGAGAAGATCTATGAAGTTACCACTTAATACCTATTTCCCATAAGTAAGCATTTCCGTTTTGGAGGACTGGAGAAGAAGCTTGCCATCTTCTTCAGACTTGACTCACAGATTGATTTGACCTCATCATTTATTTGTTTTTAAGAAATGGCATAGATAATGTTGTCAGTCATGTTGTCAGGATTTGTTTCTAATAATATTCATTGCCTAATGCTGGCGGCATCTTTATTAGCGGTTGAATAGGAGTTGGCTTGTTTTATTCCTGTCAGTTCTTATTGTGAATCTCAACAGAAAATCAATATGCACTGGAAGACTTTAACATGTAACAAGCAGCCGGTGCTCTTGACTCCACATTAAAGTGGGTTCTAATCATAATTATCAAAGAGCCAGTCTTTTAAAATCAAAACCATAATCATCATGGCATTTAACTAGTAAAATAATTCCAACAGAACATCTCTAATAAAATATCCTTTTTTTGTCCTTAGATTTTGTTCTATCCGAAGAATTAAAAACAATTTAAACTAAGTTGAATTACATTTAAGACATTTAAGGGAGTACATTTAATGTGTGGTTTTTTTTTTTTTTTCTAAGACGGAGTCTGGCTCTGTCACCCAAGCTGGAGTGCAGTGGCGTGATCTCCACTCACTGCAAGCTCCACCTCCCAGGTTCATGCCATTCTCCTGCCTCAGCCTCCCAAGTAGCTGGGACTACAGGCCCCTGCCACCACGCCCGGCTAATTTTTTTTTTTTTTAATTATTTTTAGTAGAGACGGGGTTTTACCGTGTTAGCCAGGATGGTCTCGATCTCCTGACCTCGTGATCCACCCGTCTCGGCCTCCCAAAGTGCTGGGATTACAGGCGTGAGCCACTGCACCCGGCCGGGAGTACATTGAATACATTATCTGTGCACCATGAAAGAAACTTTGCTACTAAGGTAAGGCACGTTGGTGCCTATCACCTGGTCGCATGACTACAGCATATCACTAAAGTATATGTCATGACTGACATGCTCATCTCAAACCCAACTTCTGTTGCTTGAACATGTTTGAAGTGACTTTTTTTGTGTTCTGTGTTCCAGGTTCCACTGTTCATCCCAGCTTTGTTTTCCTTCACATGCCTCTTCATGGTTGCCCTTTCCCTCTATTCAGACCCATTTAGTACAGGGATTGGCTTTATCATCACTCTGACTGGAGTGCCTGCATATTATCTCTTTATTATATGGGACAAGAAACCCAAGTGGTTTAGAATAATGTCAGGTAAGAATTTTAAATACTTTCAGGACATTGTGCAACACCATGTAGAAAACCCATAAAGGTGTACATACATAATATACTTAACATTTAAAAATGTAAGTGGCATAATTGATGATTTGAGAACATTATGGCGTTTTAATTGGAACTACTTTTTGGCAGGAAGGACATTTAGGGTACAGCCATTGAATCCTTTCAGGATATTAGTTTGGGCTTCCTTAATCACTTCTTAGGAGAAACAGCTTTGTTTTAGATGAAATTTTATCAGTAGTTCTCTAAACGACCTAATCTCTCTTTGAATCCCTTACTAACCTAATTATTTTCCTTCTGGGTTGAATGTAGTTTGGTGATTGTATATCATAACATGTAACTTGATGAGTGACATGAGATTTGTTGGGGAGTTAGGCAGTGGCCTGCAAATGTCTTAAACATTATGACTGTGCAGTACCTTAAAAGGAAGGGTGCCTCATGAAGGATTATAATAACAAGAACAATGAAGAGAACAATAGCAGCTTCCACATGTGCGTGCACGTGTATGACTTCATTTAATTTTTTTTTTTTTAATTTTACTTTAAGTTATGGAATAAATGTGCAGAATGTGCAGGTTTGTTACATAGGTATACATGTGCTATGGTGGGAGTGTAAATTAGTTCAACCATTGTGGAAAACAGTGTGGCAATTCTTCAAGGATCTAGAACCAGAAATATCATTTGACCCAGTAATCCCATTACTGGGTATATACCTAAAGGATTATAAATTATTCTACTATAAAGGCACATGTGCACATATGTTTATTGCAGCACTATTTACAATAGCAAAAACTTGGAACCAACCCAAATGCCCATCAATGATAGACTGGATAAGGAAAATGTGGCACATGTATACTGTAGAATACTATGCAGCCATAAAAAAGAATGAGTTAATATCCTTTGCAGGGACATAGATGAAGCTGGAAGCCATTATTCTCAGCAAACTAACACAGGAACAGAAAACCAAACACCACATGTTCTCACTCATAAGTGGGAGTTGAACAGTGAGAACACATGGACACAGGGAGGGGAACAAGACTTTATTTAATTCTTATAATATCCTACTGAGGTAGGAAAAATTATTATCCCCATTCAATAGGCTTTGAATTATAGCATGAGAGAATTCAGGTCCCTTGTTCCAAGTCATACAGATATAAAGTAGAGTCGCTGAAAGTCAAACTCAGGCATTTTTATATTTTAGGAGAGTCACCCTGGGGGTTGTGAGGATGGCTTAAGATAGGTTGGGGCTGAAGACAGAATATCGACTTTGGTGGTTACTGCAGCAATCCTGTTGAGAATTGAGGGGGATTCTGAAGACAGGCAGTATCAGCAGGGTCTGAGAGAAAATGAAATATACTAAAAGGAAAAACCAGCAAGACTTGGTGACCAGTTAAATTGGAGGAGGAGAAATCATAGTAGATCATTAGGTAAGAAGGGTGCTTATGAATAGCCTGTGTTGCAAGCTTGTCTCTCTGTCAGAGGCACTCCTGAGTCCTTTCCCCTACATGATCATCTCAAGCAATCCTCAACAAGGTTAGGTGTTGTTATTCCCAAGTCCAGATGAGAAAACCAGGGCTCAGAAAAATGGATAATTTATTTTTGAGTGTACATATTTTAAACCATAGAACTAGGAATTGAACCCACATCTGCTGGACTTCTAAGTTCATGCTCTTTCTAGACTGGATCCCTTGTGGAAGGGAGGGGGACAGATAGGTCACAAATATAGCCAGAAGGGCAGATCTATGCTCGCTGGTGAATTTGGTGAGTTTAGAACATAGCTTTCATACCTTTTCTTTGTTTTAATTTACTTACTTTACCATAATTAATTTTTTAAATTCCAGTTAAAAGGTTAGGGAGATTTCTGGTTAAATTATTAATAAATAATGGCAGTGTTACTAGAAAACAAACAACCAAAAACCTTGATATGCATATTGAATCTCTAGTGTGCTGTGCAGACTCATTGAGAAGTCAGTCCTTTAAAGCAGTTTTGTTAATACCTTTTATTAGCATTCAATTGGAATTTTGCATCTTTAGATCTTATACTACTATTTATATCTGGATTTCGTTTCCCCAAAGAAATGTTACTATACAAATGAGGTGCTTTATGGCTGACACAGGCGCACTGATTGCCTTAACTGAGTATTTAATCTCTATTTCTTCTCAGATCACACTAGTTTTCTGTGGAATGTTTTTAAGTTCTCTTTGTTCTAAACACTAAAGATAGAGCCTATTCGGAAGGAAAAGGGATCTTACTAAATACCATTTACCATTAGGATTGCTTTATTCATTGCTAACATTTAGGGCAGATTAGCACTCATTGCTGTGAGATCTATGTCTGTCTCCCATACTAACTGAGACAGTTAAAACCCCTGAGCAGCACAGAAAATTAACAGAATTGAGGAAGAAAGAGCTGGTGGTCCTAGAGTTAGACTAGAACGAGAGGGAGTATGATTAAAGAGGAAAGCCATTGTTCCATCCCACTTTAGCAGGCATTTTGTTCCTCCTGTTTGGAGTCAGCCAAATCTAACAGTCCTTTCCTCTTGCTAACAAACACGTTTGTACTTTGTATTATTTCTTTGTCAGTTCATCCCAACAAGCAGTTTTCATGCTTGATCCCTCATTGATGTCTTTTGGTGTTCATGTAATTTTAAAGTTTTTTCCTATTTTTTTCTGTCTCTAATGATGTTTTGAACATTTCCAAGGCCTCCAAATTTAGTGTTAGCCATTTGTGAAACTAGCAGCAATGGAGTAGTCCCATAATGGTTATTTGGTTCTCAAAAATGCCATTAAGTCTTACCGGGGAGCATGGCAATTCTGCTTTTAAACTGCGATCATTGTAACTCTTTATCTTTATAGCTGCCTTGAAAGTGAGTAGCAAAAAGCAACAGTCCTCCGTAATTTTGTTTGATTTTTCTCTGAGGCAGCATTCTTGTAGTAAAATAAAGAAAATTCATAATATTTATTGCTGCAATAGGAAGTATTTTCTTAGCCTTTGGCCAAAACAAAACACTCACACACAGACACACAAACAACAGAATCCTGAGGCAGTGCCCTGACCCTTCTCCCAACTACTCTATGATCTTTTTGTTAGAGAGAAACTCAGCGTGAACTTAGAGACCAAGAGCCTGTGCTTGGAGCAGTTTTTCAATGATTTAATATCATGTCCTTTCATTTGGTAAAATTCCATAACCTTTATATTATCATTTATTTTTACCCTGATAATGCATGAATAGATTAGCTCTGTGAAAATGATAGTCTATCAAAATACATTTTACCTAGGTTGTTTCCGTGAAAAATGAGAGGTAACCAAATAGCACTCAGAAAATGGTGAAAGGCTGCTGAGAACTGACAGCCGAGAAATGTTCAGAATCCGAGGAGCTGAGATTTTCAGAGATTTGATAAATCTCTCCAGCCACAGGATGCCAGTATTGAACCACTTTTTGTTTGATAGCATTTCTAGGGAGAAAAGAAAACATGCTCTTAAGGGAATGGTGAGATACACAGAAAGCTTTTTTCTGCCATCTGTGACAGAGTGGTTTGTTCTTCTGGTGGGTTAGTTATATTATTTATTTACTTACAGAAACACAAGCTTCTCACGCGAGGAAAAAGGGGCAGATACCCCAATGACATATGCAAATACACAAAGATAGCAAGACCTAGCAAACCTGGGCCAGGGCTCACAGCAGCCGTTTTACTTGGCTGTCTCTATTTATCAGCCACACCTTGTCACGGGGTTGAGTAGTGTGACTGGAAGTGGGTCCCTCTGGCTCAGGGAGAGAGATAGAGGACAGTCTTATTTAAACAAAATCTTTAATTATAAAAAATCAGATTGGGAAACACCAGCAGAATGACTGTAATGCATCTTTGTGGACAGCGAGTTTGCAACTCGAGAGTCCTAAAAGCATATGCTGCATACAGTCAGTCAAGATAACTTCATTTATGTTAAGTCACTGAAAGCTGAATAATGCATTTAACAGACTGTTCACAAATACTGTGGTGTGATATGCAAATTAATTAAGCTTGCCTGCATTTCTTAGGGGTCCAAACTATCTTCATTGTAAGGATAAAATGAGATCGTGCTTGTGAAAATATTTGTAGCCTTAAAAAAAATACTATTATTCTTATGAACACTTCCAGAAAAAAAAAACTAACTGATAGACTTGAGCCAACATCAAAAATGAAAGGAAAATCTTAAAAAAAAAAAATAGCGATGGGGGCGTGGTAGTGGCAGGGGGGTACGGAGGGGAGTGAGCTAGATGGCACTGACCCACTGCGACAGAAACAAAAAAAAAAAAAAAAAAAAAAAAAAAAAAATAGACTTGTGCTACACCAAAAATGTAGGCAATTTTTGCTGTAGTTCCCATGCTGGTACCAGGTATGGTTGGGTAAATCAAATTTTGCAGGGCCAGTTGTTGTTTCAAATTATTTCAAGAATAACACTGAACATGAAAGGTAAAGCTAAAAATACTACAACTGTTATTTGGTCCTGTACCTTACAGTTACTGAAAACACCAAATGCAGACTCATTAACACACCTTTATTTAAAGAAAGAGTACCATGGGTTGATTATCCTTAAAGCCGACACTGTTTTTGAACATGGATGTAGACATGGCACTTGAATGCCACATGCTCTGCAGCTTTCCCAGGCATGCAGGAAGCTTCCTTAAAGACATACTTGACTCTCTTGAGCACCGCTGTCTGGTCCACTGCTGTAAGATAAATCTAGAAGGAGGAAAAGTTGGTGTCACTCCAACAGGTACTCATGGTTAAAATCAATTACTCTGTAGAAGCCTTCATTAACGATGAAAGTCATTCAAATCCTGAGATTCCAAGAGAGATCACATAAGCGAGATACATTGGATATTGTCAACGGGGCTGATTGAACACAAAGGAAGAGGAAAGATAGCAGAAAGTGTGCAAAACCGGAATAGAGATTCTATGACCCTGTGCTACTGAATAAGGGACCCAAACCAAGCTTTTAGGAAGGAGAATGACACATTAGGGAAGCAGCAGGATCTAAGTTGCTCCTCATTTGTCTGAATGGAGGCAGTGTTATGACATGCGGAAGCAAGATGTCTAAGATAGCAGACATCTGGGGATCCCTGAATATAGAGAGACACTTTTGGGAAAGGCTTTCGTGTTGGGTGTGGAGGGCAGTCATGGAGAGTAGTTCAGGAGGCTATGGGCAGGATCTCTTTAGGGAGGCAGGGCTGGAGATGATGTCTCTTTAACATCATTGCTTTTCATTTGGCCATTGCAGATGCCTGAGATCTCTTGTTTTTCTGTTCGTTTGTTTTAAACTACTGTCACATATCCCTAGCCCCTTCTCTGTTTAAGCTACATTTTCTTTACAATTTATTAATATTTCCTTTTCCCAAAAATGCCTATTTTTATAGAATAATTTTGTCATTTCCCTTTTCTGAAAATATGGGCTTTAATTGCTCTTGAGTGCTCCCTTATGCTGCTCTTACATCTCAATGTAAAGAGTGGGCTGTGTAAAATACAGTTTATTTAGGAAACATTCACATAGAGTTTATAATTTACCGAGACTGTGCTGGGCCCTTTACAATTAATGTAGACTGTAAAACTAATACGCTAAGGACAACATCTTTGACAAACACAGAAAGAAAAGGATGAAAACAATACCTTTTTTTTTTTTGAGATGGAGTTTCTTTCTTGTTGCCCAGGCTGGAGAGTAATGGCACAAACTTGGCTCACCGTAACCGCTGCCTCCTGGGTTCAAGTGATTCTCCTGCCTCACCCTCCTGAGTAGCTGGGACAGGCATGCACCATCACACCCAGTTAATTTTGTATTTTTAGTAGAGACGGGGTTCCTCCATGTTACTGGGGTTGGTCTCGAACTCCCAACCTCAGGTGATTCACCCGCCTCGGCCTCCCAAAGTGCTGGGATTACAGGCATGAGCCACTGTGCCTTGCCTGAAAAAAATACCTTTTTAAATGTCATTAAATATGGCTTGAAAGGAGCTATTACAGATAACAAGCCATGAATGAGGAGAAATATTCTACGTCCAGATGAAAGACTATCTGGGTATGAAACCTTCAAGAGGTCAGGCTCTAAACGGCTCCAGGACTAGCAGGACATTGAAAAGATTCTGTAGGAATTCATTACAAAGATAAGAGGCAAACTGGCTGGGCACAGTGATTCACACCTGTAATCCCAGCACTTTGGGAGGTCGAAGCAGGTAAATCACTTGAGGTCAGGAGTTCAAGACCAGCCAGATCAACATAGTGAAACCCTGTCTCTACTAAAAATACAAAATTAGCCTGGTGTGGTGGTACATGCCTGTAATCCCAGCTACTTGGGAGGCTGAGGCAGGAGAATCACTTGAATCCAGGAGCTGGAGGTTTCAGTGAGCTGAGATCACACCATTGCACTGTAACCTGGGCAACAAGAGTGAAACTCCATCTCAAAAAAAAAAAAAAAAAAAAAAAAAAAAAGAGGCAAACAATAATTAATGTCCCCAGAAACCAAGGTCATAGAGTTCTACAACTGCTGAGATAAAATGACCTTGGAAATTATCTAGCTCAATGGTTCTGAGGAAAAAAGGTAGGCCTCCTTCTGAATACTGGAGTCAGACTCTCTTGAGATGTCCTCAGTTCCTACATTTTTGTGTCTATCAGAATTACAGACTACTAGGCCCCATCTTCAGTTTCTAATTTAGTAGGTCTAGGATTGAGCTTGCAAAGATGCGTTTCTAATATGGTAGGTGATGCTAATTTTGTTGGTACAGGGATCACACTTTGAGAATCACTGATTTAGTCTCTCATTCTACTGATTAGGCATATTAGGCCCTAGGAGATAAGACAATATTCTCAATAATATGTTACAAGTTAGAGAATGAAAATTATATTCTGATTCTCCTTCTGATTCTTCTGAGGAACTGACTGTAATCTCATAGGTGCAAAAAGAATAAACCAATTTTAAGCTGAATATGAAGTGTATTTTTAAACATTTATTTATATGTTGGTCCTACTGTCCCAAAATATTTTCACCCTTTGGGTCCATGAATAAAAATCCTTATTAGAATGCAAAATATTAATGTATTCTTGCTGAGAAGCCATCATGGGAAGTTACAGAAGTGACAAATAAATTAATTGAGCATGATAGGATTCTAATGAAGTAAAAAATTCTTGAAAGTGCTCTATGAAGTAGACAGTTGTGTGTTTTTGGTATTCAACCCAAAATAATTCCTATTTTGTTGTTTTTATGCATTTCTGATTTCCATGCATTTTTAATTTATTTTTCTTTCTTTGTAGAGAGAATAACCAGAACATTACAAATAATACTGGAAGTTGTACCAGAAGAAGATAAGTTATGAACTAATGGACTTGAGATCTTGGCAATCTGCCCAAGGGGAGACACATAATAGGGATTTTTACTTCATTTTCTGAAAATCCAGAGAATTACAACTTCGGTGATAAACAAAAGGAGTCAGTTATTTCTATTCATATATTTTAGCATATTCAAACTAATTCCTAAGAAATTTAGTTATAACTCTATGTAGTTATAGAAAGAGAATATGCAGTTGTTCTATGAGTCACAATTCTTGAGTCTCTGATAACTACCTATTGGGGTTAGGAGAAAAGACTAGACAATTACTATGTGGTCATTCTTTACAACATATATTAGCATGGCAAAGAACCTTCAAATTGAAGACCGAGATTTTTCTGTATATATGGGTTCTGTAAACATGGTTTTACACACTACAGATGACTATACTGTGAAAAGTGTTTTCAATTCTGAAAAAAAGCATACATCATGATTATGACCAAGAGGAGAGAAAGAAATTTATTTTACATTGACATTGCATTGCTTCCCCTTAGATACCAATTTAGATAACACTCATGCTTTAATGGATTATACCCAGAGCATTTTGAACAAAGGTCAGAGGGGATTATTGAATACATTAAAGAAGAGTTTCTAGGGGCTACTGTTTATGAGACACATCCAGGAATTATGTTTGAGTAAAAAATCCTTGAGAATTTATTATGTCAGATGTTTTGTCATTCATTATCAGGAAGTTTTAGTTATCTGTCATTTTTTTCACATCAGTTTGATCAGGAAAGTGTATAACACATCTTAGAGCAAGAGTAAGTTTGGTATTAAATCCTCTTAAGAACAACCACCTATTTCACTAATAACTTACCCCTGATGAGTATATCTAAACATATGCATTTTTAAACCTTCAAATTACATTGTCAACATGAGAGAAATCACCAACAAAGAAAATGTTCAAAATAATAGTCCCACATCTGTAATGATATCTACATGCAATGTTAGTAATTCTGAACAGTTTTTTAAATTTATGGCTATTTTTACATCATGATGAATTTTGACAGTTTGTGCATTTTCTTTATACATTTTATATTCTGTTAAAATATCTCTTCAGGTGAAACTGTCCAGATTAATTAGGAAAAGACATATATTAACATAAAAATTGAGAAAGATATGTCACCGCTAAATAAGATTTACAACTGATGTTTCTAGAAAATTTCCACTTCTATATCTAGTCTTTGTCAGTAATTTCCACACCTTAATTATCATTCAACTTGCAGAAGAGATAACTGATAAGAAGAAAATTGAAAGAATCGGAATCTGTGGATGAGTGTTTGTGTTCAGAAGATGTTGTTATGCCAGTATTAGAAAATATTGTGGGCCAGGCATGGTGGCTTACACCTGTAATGCCAGCACTTTGGGAGGCCGAGGCAGGCAGATCACCTGAGGTCAGAAGTTCTAGACCAGCCTGACCAACATGGAGAAACCTTGTCTCTACTAAAAATGCAAAATTAGCTGGGCATGGTGGCGCATGCTGGTAATCTCAGCTATTCAGGAGGCTGAGGCAGGAGAATTGTTTGAACCCAGGAGGCAGAGGTTGCAGGGAGCCGAGATTGTACCACTGCACTCCAGCCTGGGTGAGAGACTCCATCTCCAAAAAGTATATATGTGTGTGTGTGTGTGTGTGTGTGTGTCTGTGTGTGTGTGTGTGTATGGTGGAACTTACAAATGAGAGCAATATAATGATGAAATTTTGAACTGTTATTTATAAACATGTAAGGTAGAATGGTTAGTCATGGCCAGAGTATGTTTCATCCCTTAATTTTTGTCCATTTGAAAATAAGGATTTTTGAAAGAATTATACCAATTAAAATTATTAAAGGCAAACATAGAGTTCATAGAAAATTGTCCAAAGTATAAATGTTGACCTATAATTTGGAGCATTTCCAATTCAGTAATTTCAATTTTGCTCTTGAAAATATTTAATATATATCGAAGACTGACATTTCTTTAGCCGAACCTAACGTTTGGGTCTCTAAGTGAATTTATAATAACTCCTTCCTTCCTTAGCATAGGGTTTTCAAAATTTGATCTATAATTCCTATTTCTAGTAAATATTGTTCATTTGTCCACATCTCTCCCTATCATGTGTTGCCGGAGGTAAGAATTTCTTTTATATTCCTATTTTTTTTCCCCATAGACTAGGCTCATAGAATTTAAACAAGCAAACTTTTCCTGAGCTTTTTCTTGCCAAATGAAAGAAGACTGGTAAATTCTCATAGAGAGGTTTTTGCAGTTCTTGGCTATTCCTGGGGTTAATGTGCTTATATTCACAGCGGCAAATTGGTCTCAGAATTTAATTTATTTATTTTTGATTTGAATTTCTCTTTAAAAGTATTGATTTAAAAGGTAACTAGAATTATTCTTTCTCATTTTCAAAAGTGATTTTTACATTATGAAATTTCCCTGCCATTGTAATGCCATTTCAAGCAGAAAAAAAGTCAGCCAGTAATTAAGAAAAAAAGTGATGGAAATTAAGTAGTATTTTGGCTTATTTTTAGGACTCATCATGAGAAGACACAGAGTTCCTTTAATCAGGAAATTAATATTCATAATTTTCATTCAAAATGGTAGTATGTAAAGCAGATTCTCATTCAAAAACTCTCTTGCACACTTATTTATATATATGTATGTTTTTATATAAGTAAATTTTTTCTCATATTTTTATACAATATGCACACACACACATGCACATACTACTACATGCGCTGTACTTGTACTTTGTACCATGCATATTCAAATGTTTATATACATAAGTTTATTATAACATAAAAAGTAAAAGTAATGAATACTGTTTAAAATAACTAATATAGTATTTTTTAATTTTTGTGGGGATGGATTCTCAAATACTTAATTGTGATTTTAAGAGATCCAGTAAAGACTTCTAAAGCTAAAACACAATTTGATTTTAAAAAGAATGATTCTCCTTACACAATTATAAATATTTGCAGTAAATATTTTCCTCATAGTACTATTTTGACCCCATTTAAAAAGTATTAGATTATATTCCTTTGATGAAATGAAAACTGAACCATTATAGATGGTTAGCTGAAAGTAGACCCTATTCTTGTCCTTCTTTAGAAGAGTAAAGATTTGTCCTAGGGAAGATGGCTGACTTCAGTTCAAAATATGCATATGCATTTAGACTGTAGCTCCTCAGCCCTGTGGACACAAAATTTGGGCAGTTTAATAGGTCACATTATCAATGCATGGTGGTTTCTCCAACACTAAGATATTTACGTTGAAGCAGATTTCCTGTTCATCTTATGTGTCTGGTAAAATTGTTTCCCCAGTTACAATCTGACTTATCGATAGAGGGTTAACAAGAGTATAATTACATAACAGAATTCCTCATCAACTGTGATCAGTCTACAGGAAAATCATTACTTTATCTCGATCTGCAGCTGAATATACTGCTAAGAAAGGGAGCAACTCTGACCTTTGTTAAAGTTGACCTTTTGTAATTGAGGTATAAGTTATGAAAAGATAAAAAACTGAAGGCCAGAGAATCAGGAAATGAAAGATAGTATGTGACTGAAGGTAACAATATTTTAATGTTATGCAATATAGTCAGAGAAATATTAAAAATTAGTTGTTTGCTGTGCATAGGTGGATCTCCCAAGAAGTTAATGAAACCTAAGCTTCAGTGCCTCTCACTTAGACATGTTCCGTTCGAGGTCCTGAACCTAACTTTGCATTAGGAATTCTGTATTAATTTTGTTGAAGAAGACCAGCAAAGTTGTGTATACTTCTACCCCCACAAAATCTGCATTGTCTGTGTGAGTAAAGTAAAATAATTCCTATTTTTTTTTCTATTAGAAATAAGTATGGAGAATATATTTTTTAAAATGTAAGTTATGAGTTAATTGAATGTCCATATATAACAAGTGACTTTCTCATAATATATATGATGTGATATATAGGGAGATAGTCTCACTTTCATCATATTTTATATGTTGATTCTGAACTATAGAAAAATAATAAATGGGATTTCAATTATAGCTCTTTTCCTTAGTTTGGAAAGAAATACAGAGAGATGTGGGATTTGAATGCCCATGAAAGACATTTAATTTTACTTGAATATATTCTTGCTTCACTTTACCCTCCATAACATGTTGTACATTAGTGCTGATCAAGTTTACAGAGTTATATTTTGCTTTCCTAACCATTCAAAGTCAGGAATTAAAATATGGCATTGTATAACTGGGAAGAAGTTCATAGTGTATATAAATTAGAGTAGATAATGGGTCACCTGGATAGTTTCTGTTTACATTACTTGTATATAGGCAAAATAATGATTACCTATACATGTATTTAAGCTTAATTTTCCCATAAACAGTATTTTTAATCTATGTTAAAATAGATAATACCTAAAAGTGTGATCTTTAGGTAGTCCTTAGTTTATTAGTACTGTACTTTAAAAACATTTTTAAATAAGCCCGGCACAGTGTCTCATGCCTGTAATCCCAGCACTTTGGGAGGCCAAGGTGGGTTAATCACCTGAGGTCAGGAGTTCGAGATCAGCCTGGCCAACATGGTGAAACCCTATCTCTACTAAAAATAATACAAAAATTAGCCAGGCATGGTGGCAGGCGCCTGTAATCCCAGCTACTCGGGAGGCTGAGGTAGGAGAATCACTTGAGCCCAGGGGGCGGAGGTTGCAGTGAGTTGAGATTGCATCATTGCACTCCTGCCTGGGGGACAAGAGTGAGACTTCATCTCAAAAAAAAAAATTTTTTTAAATAATAGCTAAAAGTATGATCTCTAGGTAGTCCTTAGTTTATTAGTACTGTACTTAAAAATGATTTTTAATAGTCAATTTTGGGATGTAATTATTTCTTTCCTTGTATTTTCAAATTAGTTGGTGTCTAAAAATAAATGTTTTGTCTAATTTTAGATCAGGTATACATTCACAAAAGCATAAATCATGGTCTCACAGGAAATTCACCAATTTTCCATATGTTATGAGATAATTGTTCTTTCTACAACCTCATAACAATGAATTTATATAATTACCTAGATTTTCTTAGGGTGAATCTACCAATTAGTTTTATTTTCTTGGTAGTTATTTTTCTCCCTCCTCTCTGTTACTATTGGCCTTAAAACACACAGAGGATGGTTACAGTCTCCTAATAGCTATCTGTTACATGTGTGTGTTTCAGTGTACTTGAATCAAGCGTACATTTATAGTACCAATAACCACCTTTACAGCTTTACAGCTAACAATTCTGTCACAAAACTGTAGAGCATTAGGCATCTGAGAGCCATACAGAGGGCCACACTTGTTCCAAAGTGAACATACTTTTTTTTCCTCAACATATACACTACTGATTTTTTTTTAAAAGTATGACTTTCAAGTGAATTAGTGTATTGGTTAGGAGAACTGCTTGCTAAGTCCTTATTACCTCTTGTCGAAGCCTTAAAAAGCCATGCTGAAAGCCAGAGGGGAAAAAAAGAGTAATGCACAGGTATCTCTTTTGCAATGGTGACTGTATTTTGAGTACCTTGTGTGACAGGGTATTTCATACAGCATCTTGTGGGAAAACCTATTAGGCCTTTGCATGTTAAAGCTGTATAATTTGTTGGGTTGTGAGTGGTCTGACTGAAGTGTGTATTATAAAATTTAGACATCAAATGTTCCTTCTAATGAACTTTGTTAGATGCATAGTTAGAAGCACAGTCATATCACACTGGGAGGCAATGCAATGCGGTTCCCTGGTCCTAGGTTTGAACTGTCTTATTTCAAAGGATTTCTGAATTAATTTTTCCCTAGAATTTCTCCTTCATTCCAAAGTAGAAACATACTTTGAAGAAGGAAACAGATTGTTCCCATGAATGTATGCTTACACTTGAAACGATCTATGTTAAATGACTGTGCATGTGAATTATTTCAAGTACTACCCCAAAGAACTTTTGCTCTGAAAAGAAGAAAAGCAATGTAAATCACTATGATTATTGCACAAACCACCAGAATTCTCCAACAATTTTAAGTAATCTGATCCTCTTCTTGGAGAAAATTGTTACCTAATAGTTTTTCCTCATGAATGTTATTACTACTGGTATAAACCAAATTTCTATAAATTTCCTACTTAAGTCTTGAGAACTGGGTTCTTCCTTTGATGTTATTCATGTTCAGAAAGGAAATAACACTTTACTCTTTTAGGACAGTTCCTAGAATCTATAGTAGTATCAGGATATATTTTGCTTTAAAATATATTCTGGTTATTTTGAATACAGACATTGGCTCCAAATTTTCATCTTTGCACAATAGTAATGAGTTTTCACTAGAACTTCTCAACATTTGGGAACTTTGCAAATATAAGCATCATATGTGTTAAGACTGTATCATTTAATGCTA